AAATTTCGGAAAACTTTTATTATATCGCGGATCATTTCGGAAAAATTTTATAATAAACTCCCTCCAGCCCGCCCCCCCCTCTTTTGTGAGAAGGATGTAACGTAAACCACCGAATTAAATTGGTCTCGCCTAAACGTGATTTTTACAAAATGAACGTTTTGTTTTGAAATTTTCACGTTACACCAGATCTTGACTTTAATTGGCTCATTGATGTCGGAAAATCACATGACAGTAAAAACGACCCTACGCCCTAGTGTTGCCCAACTCGAACGTTTCTTTACGTTACACCTGATCCTTATATTTGATTGGCTGATAGACGTCGGAAAATCATGTGACGGTAAAATCGATCCTACACCTTGGCGCTGTTGGCTTCGGGTCCACGGAACACTATTACTGTAACAAGGTTAAAAGTTAATCGATTAAGTAGAAAATTTCAAGCAGCTCCAAAATGTCTTACAACTTATTTGGAATCAGTTTTAGTTGCTGAGCCATCTCAAGCTTATAGAGCCATTACTTATATTACAATAAACTCAGAATACGTAACATCCTTCAACATGTTACGCATGGCTGATTTTAAAATATGACGGTATCATTTTTGTCTATGTATACTACAATTAAGGATTCATGTCTGGAGCCATAACTCTATCGCTCTATCGATATCTTTATATATGGAGAACATATATATAATGACAGTACACAACAAAATTTCAATTTTGAAGTTAAAAAAAATCTAGTAAAAAGAAGAGCAAAATAAAAATAACTTTTATGAATGCCAATGGCGTCCCTTAGCGACACAAAGAAAGAAAAAAAAAAAAGGAAAAAAAGGAAAAAAAAGAAAAGGAAAAAAAGGAAAAAAAAGAGAAAAAAGGAAAAAAAAAGAAAAAAAAAAAGAATAGTCCATAATACCTTACAATAACTCTAAATATAATTCTGAATATAAATTAATAAATAAGAGTCCAGAACATTTGTATTTTACTCATCTCATAGGTATACCAGATACACAAATTCTATGAAACGTGTAAAGATTAAATTATTAATATTAAAATTAATAGAAAATAAGATTATTTTAGGTATAGTTCAACTTTAAAAGCTAATACAACATCAAAGGAATATAAAGGAGAATCGTTCATCCTAGTTCTTTTACAAAGTGCTGCCACTAGGTTTTGAAATGAAAATTACTTAATACAGTCAACCCTCAATAAATGCATATCATCGGAACCAAACTTTTGAGGGCTTGCATTTAGAGAACAATAATAAAAAATGCATTTATGGGAGCTTAGTATATATTTGGGCCAGAAATTAATATGTATTTTAAGGAGGTCATACACTTAGGGGGGATGCATTTAGGGGGGCCGACTGTATTCCACTTTCAAAATTGACCGACGTGTATGCCGTGAATCCTTCTATAGATTATGTTAAAATTTATAAAGTATATAATATAAGTTTTGATGTACCTGAATAAATGAATTTTTTTGTGTAAAGTTATCATAATATTTACCCAATCTTTGAAAAACTGCTCAATTGGTCATATTCGACACAGAGTTTTTAGGACCTCTCTTTTTCTGTCCACTGAATGTGCAAACGAAAATTTTTTTAACGCATCGTTCACACGGGTCATTGCTCGAATATTTGCATTTGACTTTTGACTTTTTACAAGAATCACAAGCGGCGGTGGTGTAGGTGCCTCTAGTCCGTTTGTTCGAATTGACGTTAGGTGAAGAATTAAACGGCATCAAGATTGGTTGATTATGGTTAAATGACGTCAAGCTTGGTTGATTACAAATCACGTAAGATGGCGTCAAGCCAAGTTGATTGCAAATCACGTTAGGTGACGTCAAACCTGGTTGATTACCAATGCTAAGTGGATTAACAGTCCTTTGATAAGGAAAAGTAGTCAATTCACTTGCATCTATTTCCGGCATAGAAGGCAAGGAATTATTTATTGAATAGGTTAAGAGAGCAGTGGAGGATGATGATGATGAACGGTTAGCCGGTGATTGTTGATACCGCGGTCTTGATACATGAGGCCACTTTTGTGCATATTTAGCGTTGGCAAGAGCCGCAATATTTTTATAGACTTGTTTCATACATGTTATTTCTTGCCCCCAAAACCGTGACATTTGATTTTTGGAATGAAATCCTCGTGAGCGAAGCTCTTTACAATAAATTTTGAAAGCAGTATAAGGATAGTCTCCATATTGCGTTGAAACCAAGCTGCTAACATCAATTGTGGTTGTCGGAACGAAAGGAGGGTTTAAAGATGGATAACTATTAGTACTGTACAGTTGATCAGATTGAGATGAGTAATGAGATGAATTTAAGTAGCCGTCACCCATTTATTCATTTTATTTCAAAATATGGTTATGAAAAAATTTTCTCGATCAGTATGCTTTTATATATACAGTATTTTTTTTTTCATTGTGCTGAAAATGGAAAATTTTATAATGATTTTTCAGGATGCAGGGAATTAAAAACACAGGCATTATAACCCCACTTTTGAAAAATGAGTTACATTTACACGTGTATAACCCACATTTGTAATTCATCAATGAAAAAGTTAACGCCCATGATACTATAAAAAGAGGGGATTTTGATTAGATAGAATATAGTTTTATTAATATATAGAATATAGTTTTATTAATATATAGAATATAGTTTTATTAATACTAAAAAGGATATGTTTGAACAAATTTGATTTTTTAAAAAACTATATTTGCGCATTTACGTCAAACTTTATTATTCATATTTCCATATTCCTTTATTCCTTAAATTAGAATCAAAAAATGCATGTACATATGTACGTTACAACATAGTGCATAATGTACGTACATTGTAAAATGATAGATCGTTGCTTGAAATGGGATTTCTAGTATATTCTATTTGCAGAATTAGGTGAATTGTTATCGTAGTGTACATTGTGAATATAGTGAACATAATATAGTAGCTTTAATGAAAATATTTATAATGTACTTATTAATAGTGCTAAAGCTATCTTTCGTCTTCAATAAAGTTACTCACAACTCATTTGGAGTTCAACATTGTAAAGTGTTTGGTTCTACTAATCCCTCTGATCAGTGAAATCTATTAGCATCGGGCACCCGTGCTATAGCGATAGTAGTGATAAAAGTAAGCTGTTATGGAAATGATATCGTACTACGTACGTACGTACGTACATTAACTAGAAGACCCCTAAATAGTCACGATTTTTGGATGCAAATACTCTCTGTGTGACTATTCACAGGGGTCATTACGTAGTATTGTCATTATCGGTGTTTTTAAAAATTTTTATACTGCACAAAAGGAAATAAACAAGTTTCAATAAATTCCTATATTAATCATAGCATAACAACTTACCGTTACGTACGTACGTATATAGTTGCTATATAATTCTAGTGAAATCTCCTTAACTATATCGAAAATTTTTTCCGCAAAATATATAAGGTTGATTGCAATGTACGCAACAATAATCTCAATCAAAATTTAAATGATTGTTTCATGCCCCTAATTTTCTACTTCGTGATTTTAGTGGTTATCTGATTGGTTGGGCACGAAAAAAAATTCTTCACGATTGCCGCGTGCAAATTTTTTGTCAAAAGATTCTTCATAACCAACTTTTACAAAATTGACTTTTGGATAACTATAGGGAGGTAAGATTAATGTTGTTAGGTGAAACCATTTTGTGCAAATGGCGAAAGACGAAACTAAACCCGGCGAAAGACGAAACCAGGCGAAACTCTGGCAAAACTGGCGAAATTTGGCGAAACTGGCGAAAACCGGCGAAACCTGGCGAAACCTCAGATAAAGTCAAAACTCAGCGAAGATCAAATCCTCAAAGACTTTGGAAAGGATTAAGCCGTGTTGATGAATGAAATATTTTGCGTAGCTATTAAGTACAGCATGTGGCTTATATAAAAAAAGCAATAAACAAGGCGATAGCTTTTTGCTTGTATATTCGAATACAATCAGACTTCTCTAAGTGCACCTTCTCTAAGTGCACCTTCTCTAAGTGCACACCCTCTCTAAATGCATGCTCAGATTCTTGCCCAAATACAGTCAGAC